TATTGTTAGTTAAATCAATAGTAATTTTGGATTATATTTAAATTACATATTATGTAACAGAAACAGTAGTATTAATGATAAAATCTTTAGAAGAATATTGAACTTGAAACTTTACCACAATCATTAAAATAAACACACACACACACACACACACATATATATATATGTAGTAATGGAAATAATTATGGAAACACTGGTGAAAGACCTTGTATCACAGAAAAGGGATTGCTTTCTTATAAGCATAGAAGTTTAGTTAGGTCTACAGATTTACAACAGACTGAACCATAATTACAGTATACAAACATATAACTGAATACATTATGGTAATATGATGAGGATTACTATCCTCCTTGGTCAAGCAAGATGCATTTCTAATGGGATGTCATATTGCACATGTCTGTATTTCTCTACTATCAATGTGTCATCAATTTTACTAAGTCTCTAACAGTTGTAAAGGATGCTATACCCAAAAACTGTACAGATTCACCATCACACTTCTTTGTAGATGTTGTAGTTTGATAGTGGTACTGTCCTCATTTCCTTCTTTCAATATCCTGCTATCAGTCACTTTTGAAAAACTCAGTGTTGGACTCCAGTGTCAGATTTTGAATATGGGCTGGGATTCCTTTACAGTAGGTGTCTGTGACTTGCTGGTGATAAATGTCAACAATAAACAGACAAAACACAATCCATTTGTTTTAAAATAATATTTTCAAAACACGTCAAATGTATGTACAAAAGTTTGTTACTCTAATATTTATCACAGTTGTATCTAAAGCTTTAAATAATCCTCTTTTCTCGTCAAAAGTCCACACAGGCTAGTTCAGTTACTTTAGAATCCAATTGACAAGATGAATTATTCTTCTCTATCTCTCTTTGTCACTATACAATCTGCAATAAATTCACTTACGTTACCCAGTGGGTTACCACAGTTGTATCCAGGATTTTAAATAATTGTCTTCTTTTCGTCAAAGTCCACACAAGTGGGTTCAATTATTTTACAAAACCCTTTGACAAGACAAGTTATCTCTCCTTATCTCTATTAACTGTGAAACTCACTTTAAATATCGCTCATTATGGCTAAACTAACATTCATGCAGTCTAGCTTCATTTTCATTTTAACTCAACTTTTTCTAACTTAACTTCACTTTTTCTGACTTAACTTCTTTAGAAACCACCTGTCATGGCTAAACTGCCAATCACTTAGTCTAGGTCTGTCAAATTATCTCCCACTTAACTTGCTTTCTTTTCTTCCTTTCTGTATCTGCATGTATTTATAACATGTGACAGAAAAATCTAGAAATATCTAGCCCTCTAATGACAACAATATTACAAACAATGAGAAAAACTTAGAAACTTTGTCAACAATATTATGAAAGCCTAGTACAACAATCAAACCACATACACAATGTACAACTTGTACCAAGTTACGTAACAAAACTTGTTATAAAAACTAAATAATCATTAAATATAAAATCAATAAATAAAAACTCTTAAAAACAGTTTTTTATGTCCAACATCCAGTAAATAACACCATCTGTCAGACCTGCTCATCCCACTGTTTCATTTTCAATATTCATTTCAGTATTTTCTTTATGTTTCTTCTGCACAGCAAAGACTTAATATCATGTAACTATATGTTCATTGAGGCTGCACTGAGCTAAGTTGTTTCTAACTCTCCACAGAATGACTAAGACACCCTTACTTAAATCCAGGATAGAAGCCAGATCTTTACTGCAAATAGCATATCCTGAGATGCTTCAAATCAATGGTGGAAAGTTGGACCTTTCTTCCCCAATTGAGTTTGTTATTAACAGTGCCAATTTCTTAAAACTGCAAAATGTCTTGCATACAGAACTCACTGATTCATGCAGCTTGGCTTCAACCTGTCACAGGAAATAACACTCATAATCTAAAATGCTAGTTGCTACATATTTGCATGCCTTCTTCAATACTAGTACCGGGGAAGTGATAGGATGTCTATGTTTATATAGTCTGTAAGCTGGTGTGGCACTTTATGATTGGTTGGATGGCAACCTGTCACAGCTAGAGTACCAAATCAACATAGCTGTTCTACTATGCTGGTGGAGCATGTATGTGCCATTTCTAAACTTTTTACAATTTTTAGAATTTTCATTAGCTCTTCAAATTTAAACAATTCTGTTTCCTGAACTGAAAACAATTTACCATTTAAAATCAAAGTTATTTTTAGTACTGAAATAAAGTATGAAGTTGTTTTCATGGATTTGTTTTATCCAATCGGTCCTCACAATGCTTCTATTTTGCCCTATTGGTCCTTGCAATGCTACTATTTTACCCTATCAGCCCTGGCAGTGCTTATATTTTTAACTTCAGCATATTAATTATTTGCAAATGTTCATCACATATGATGCTGTTTATACACAAGATGATGTATGTGTACCAATTTCAACTACATGTGGAAGTTTGGGTTGAATACTTGTATTATGTTGTTCATGTGACATTTGGTATATGTTTGTTTGTTGAATAATAACCTTTTATTTATGTTATTATATTTGATGTGAAAATGTTTATTCCAGATCTTGGCCTTGGGCTTTTATAAGAAGTCTTTGCCATACTTGTAGTTGCTCTTTATGCAATTTTACAAAGATTCATTGAAAAGTTAATGGAATGTAATACCAACATTAAATCTTCTCAGAAAGTCTGGAAGTATCTATATTCTCTAAAAGTTATTATTATGTAACAGGATTCTGGTCTCTTCTGTGGGTGCTAAGTTTTTTTCCTTGAGGTTTAGCATTTCAGTTGTTAATTATGCATTAATGTGTCCTACAGTTTTGGGGTTTTGTCTGAAAATGCAACTTGCTTTGATTTAACTACTCTTCAGTATATTTCATTTTCTTTTATTCCATTTTATTCTATGATTGATTTACTTTGCATTATTATTTCAACATGGGAATTTTTAGTTATTCCTTGCTCAGAGATAATATTTCTTCAACATTGTTAAGAATGTTAATAAAGAAATTATAACTTACCCTGCCTTCAACTGAATTACAAAAAAACTTTATACTTATATATAAAGTATGTTAACTCTTTAGTTCATAAAATTTACTGCCAACATTTCCAAATCACAAGTACAATTTTTAGATGTTAATAAAGAATTCAGACTATAATTACTAATAAACACGTATACTATCTTCCCAACAGCTGTCATACTCTATGTTGTACTAGACATCTACCATACAGTTTAGCCCTTTGATTAAAAAAGATTCTATTCTGAACAAAAAAAGTTTCCAAAGGAAATATACCAAACTAGGAAACCAACTTTGGATACGAGATATCACAAACAAATAAAAAGAACTATACACATTCCAATGGAAAAACTAATGTACATGAAGAATCAAAAAATGTAACAAAAGGTATAAATCATTTAGTAAAAAGAAAAAATCCGATTTCTCTCCAATTATCCAAGCTTATAAAGGACCCCAACTCCATACTCAACACAAGCAACACCATGAAAAATAAAATGTAAGATCTTCCAGTTGTGACTTTCAAATCACCATCAAGTTTATGAGACCTACTTGTTTTACGGTATCTGTGATTTGACATGACAGGATTTAACCCTATTTACAATTATATTATTAAACATGTTGTTTTATGTTTATACAATCTTCAACTATAATTGAGGGCTTTATCTAAACAAAAAACATTTCACAATTATTGATGCTATAACATTTGTCACTAAGTGACCTAGATGTGGTTTACAGTATGATGGGGAAGTAGAACAAACATTAACTTCATGGATCAGTAAACACAGTACAGACATTATGCACAACAGACAGGAACTCCCTATACCTGAACACTTATGCCAAGCCAGTCATACCATTTTGGACATGATGATTTTCAAACATTAAGTTCACTGGTCAACAAACAGACACAAACTTCCTGTAAGTGGAAGCTTTGACCAAAAATAAATAAATGGAACAGCATTTGTGCACAGATAAAATGTTACAAACAAATGCACAACACTGAATTGTTGGACAATAAAATTAGCTTTGTTGAAAATGTGGTACAGTCTTAAAAAAATATTACATTTTTGGCAGCACTCTATGCTACCATAATCAGAAGTAAGATTTAAAATCAGATTCTGACTTAAATACCTACATCACTTGAAATTTACATAAACCTACATTACACCGTCAGTGCCATTCTAACCATGAACACAATTCCATCTCTCAAGTTTAGCTCTTTTATTAAAGAGATTTTTTCCTGAACAAAACTTTTCCAAATTAGGTGCAAGGAACTAGAAAATCAACTCTAAATAAGAAAATTTAATGGAAAAAGATACCATAAACAAATCAAAAGAACTAAATATATTTGAAGAGAAAAATCCTTAGTTACACAAAGAATTAAAAAATTTAACAAAAAAAACATGATGGTTTGCACACATTAAGTTTACAGATCAGTAACTAAAGTTCAGATAATAGAAACAACAGACATGTATATGTTATATATAAACTCCCTGTACCTAAAAGCTTTAACCAACCCAATCACAGCATCTTATACATGAAAAAACTATGTTTTCATTTTTCAGAAAACTAGCATTGTAAGTCCATAGACTTACCACTGTCCCACCACAGGATGAGAACTAGTTCTAAACAAAGAAACAGATAAATAGAAAGTCATATATATGTGTGTGTGTACTTGAAATTTACATACAGATTTTCTATACACCTTCTAAGGAATGTTGCTCTCTCCCTAACCAAGAATTTAAAAATAAAAACAATCACACACCTTAAGTTTGTCTTCTGCCTTTATGTTTGATGCTGGAGACTCATCTAATTTCTTCCTTAAATATTCCAGTTCCTGGAAGATTAAAACATGTTGATATCAGATGTTTAAGCTAAATTTTATAATACAACAATAAAGATTCTGTCAAAACTGTATGAAAAACTTGATTTAGGCAATCAACTATCAAACATCATGTAAAAGATTTGTTTGTTTATAATTAAGCACAAAGCTACACAATAAGCCATCTGTGCTCTGCCCACCATGGGTATCTAAACCTGGTTTCAAGCATTGTAAGTCCGTAGACATACCGCTGTGCCACTGGGGGGATTCATGTAAAAGAACTGAAATTTTCATAGTATATTTACAGTTTTTGTGCAGATTGTCTAAAACTCATAACTCAAGCAACAAACTACATTATGTGCAGAGAATATTAAGCTTAAACTTGGCAATCCATTAAATCAGAGAAACACATGATGGCACAACAAGCTTTCACATGTCAATCATGCAAATTTAACTTCCGTAAACCAGTAACTGATATTTTTTTGAGCAACACTAAAATTTTGAACTTACCAAGAGGATCTTATAAAAATGTTCAGAGACTTAACTTGACACAGGATACAGAAAAAATAATAATTAAAGTGTATTAATAACAGTCTAGTATAATTACATGTAACACACGAACTAACAGAAAGTGCAAAGCAAAGTGTGAAAGTAAAAACAGATTTTACAGTATATCCATAAGCTTCTGTCATGGTTAGTAAGCAAAATGAGCATAAATAAGTATAATGCAAAAATCAAAATCTAAGAATGTATCAGGAAATTTCTAATAAGATTTTTTAGATAAATTTAATTTTAGGAATCCAAGAGTTGAAACATACTTCAGTGTGCCAATGTCAAGCAAACATCAATTAAATAACCCATTAGCCAATTTTGGTGGTGTAGACCAATAAATATATTTTAGATTGCATCATTCTTAGGCAAACATAAGTTATAAAATCTATTAGCTGACTTCAATGATGCAGATAAACACAGGTATTTGAAAGAAAAGCATTGCCACAAAAACACATAGGAACCCCACTATCTCACTTCAGCAATATACAACAAAATTAGCAAGGATATCACCAAGCTTCTATGATGTTTTTTACACAGATTTGATATTAGCATACCAGTAATTGTTATTCCAAGTAAAGAACAAAATATATAATAAGAAATCTCTAAGCTTCTGTCATGTAAGCTTATTTCTGAAAAATAATCCATTCAAATGATCAACATAAAACATTAAGATCCAGTGAAGGTGTTTATATTTTACCTAGAAAAGAGTAATAACTAACCAACTCTAGAGTTAGTGATACCATTGAACTAATAAGAAAATGTATTTGTAACCTCTACTGGATAATGAACAATTGAGGAATCTGGAAAAAAAAAAAGATTAAACAAGTAAATCTTGAATCAGCTAATTCTCTTAAGCATTTGTTGATTTGAGATTTAGCACTAGTGGAAAACATCCTGTAATAGTTATTTGCTGTGAGATTATATTTCCAAAGTTAATTAACTACATGTAATCTTAAAAATGTTATTATGAGTAAGTGTTAGAAATAATGGATGTTTTGTAACTGATGAACAAGTACATTGTGATGCTTAAAGAATCTTTACATGTTTTCATGGAGGGAGGTCTTAATTGTTGCTGTTTTATAACACTGTTGTACCATACTTAACCTATTCTTCAAGGAATGATCTATTCTAGGTTTTAATATGTGTTTGGAGCAATTTCTCCACTTTGTTTCAAAAGCTTGACTACCTCATGAAAACTGGAAGCTTGTGTTCTAACCTTTCAAATGAACTCTTCCAGATAGATTGAATAATAGTTTAAGATCCTAGTTCTGGGTAAGTCAGTAAAAAATTTTAATACTGATCATTTGAAATCAGGAATGGGTCGTTCATGCTAGGAGCGAAAGGTGCTATCTTATTAGAACATGTCAGCTTGTTAAGTAGTTATTTGTCATGGTTTCCAGATGGTATTCATTAAGATCTGTCAATTTGGATACAAAATACTAGACATGCCCAATTTACAGAGCAAACAATATCATAACACCCCAACTAAAGTTCTTCACAGTTATCACACAGAACACTCATCATATTTGTTTATCAGCCTCATTCCATACCCATATTTCATCATCAAATCAAAAATAGTGAAGATTTTAGTGCTGATATGCTTTATGCCAATCAATATAGTGCAAATTATTTTGGTATGACATACAGTTTTTGTATTCCAGCCTTTCCAAAGTACTCATAATTATGCAGAGTTTACAGATAATGACTTTTCACTTATGACTAAAATGAATATAGCGGATTGAGTATGTTATATTAAAATGATTTTGGAACCTGTCCAAATTATTACAGTCCGTGTTGCCACATCTGCTCATGCTCTATCTGATAACCATACATCTTAAATATAGTTTTGTAGCATAGCTTCCATTGCAAAAGACTCAGTCATAAGGTTATCATGTCTAAAGCACACCACTCTTCCTTGCTTGGTTTCCATCATCTATCTAGTGTATGATGATAATGGTTTTCCAGCACCTGTTTTAACAGTCCAGTTGCACAGAAATTCACAGGCACTGCATCTGGCAATGTGTCTGGTATGTCTTCATATGAAATAGCATGAATGCCTGTTTCATTCTCTAGCTGCTTGAGGTATGTGATGGTTGAATGGGAGTTATGACTGAAAATTTTACCATGGTAAACCCATACCTAGTTGATTTGTTTGCTTACAAAGCTGGTATTTCTGTGTGGTAAAAAGGTCAAGAACATTGGCCTGACAATAATCAGACTTCATCTTGAACTTTGTATCCATTCTCCTGATCCTTAATTTGTCCTTGGCATAGTATTCAGAGGTGATAATGAATCCATTTGAAAACATTTCACAACAAGCCATATAGCAATTTTGAAACTTTCTTTCACTCATTGACCAGTAGCAAATTGCACAAGATTTGTTATGATTTCCAAGGTACACATACATTATGTCAAGTGTCACTACATACTGCTATTTCTCCTGTTTAGGTACTGTTCATACATTTTTCTATGGTTGGTTTTCCTTTCCTGAATATGTAAATGTATGAATATTTTGTGTTGGAAATAGCTATTACATACCCTTCCCAAATGTAACCAATTTTTGATGATATCATACTACTTACAAAATTCATATGATAAAATGTAGTTTTGATACACGCCATTCTACTCTGATTTTATACTGGTTACAGTTGTCATGTGACTTGCTGACTTGCATATTCAAAATTGTTTTAATATAACATGTTCAACTATCAGTACAGTAGTCACTATGCAGTTGATGAAGTAAATTTTTGTGATAACTTTTGGCTAATTTGAATGTTTGTTCAATTTTTTATAGATGTTGATCTATTAAGTTCCTGATACTGTTGAATGGTATCTTCAACTTAGATCTTGCTTGATCAAAAATTGACTTTTTCAAGTATTAATTTTTGACACTTACAGAACCCTATAATTTATCCTTTCTGAAATTCAAATAATTCATGAAATGTGTACATCATGCTCAAATTTTGACAAACTAATTTACTTAATTAATGTATTTTCATTTATATTCATTGGACTAATTTTCAAAGAACGATTGATAGGACATGTATCATGTTCAAGAAGCTCTCAATACTTCTGGCAGGTCACTATTTTTTTAAGTATCATTGTAATGATGAAATTACAAAGCTGATTAATTGTTCTGTTGAAAGTGATGTTATAATTATGTATTTTATAAATGAATGTTTGCTTTCAAATGATGTTTTAATGAAATGTCAGAATTATTAAATTTATTAACTGGGTTGCACATAAAGTAATAACTAACATCATGAATAAACTGTATCGAGAATAAGGCAGTAATGTAAGAAAAATACATTTCATATCTTCAATACTGCTTTACTTTGCAGGCAAGAAATAACAAACTAGTTTTAGTTGCAGTCAGACTAGTAGTAATAAAAATACTAAAACAGATGTGCCTGAATCAAAATTTGCATTGTGAAAAATAATGAACAATTTGCACCTTACAAACCAAGGTTATAACACTTGAAATGATCAATCAGCTATATCTCCAATAAAACCATAATATAAAAAATAATTAAGCAGTTATGCCTTTAAAGGGGTTGCACTGTTAGAAATAATGAAATGGTTACTAAAAAATTATCACTTAGGGAATAAAGCTGTAATTTAAGAAATGATGAAACAGTTAGGTGTTCAATAAAGCTGGAATGTAAAATACTATGAAATAGTTTTGTATTTAATAAAGTTGTAGTGTAAGAAATAATGACTACAAGTGTTTGTTTAATGCAAAAAATAATGAAACAGCTGCATATTCAATTAAACAAATATGCCTTCAATAATACTCTAAAGTAATACAAAAAGAACTAATTCTATTTTTAAAAGGACATAATGCATTAATAAAAAACTGGCTACCTCCAAGAAACTGGAATATAAAAAAATATTAAATATCCATATTTGCATTAACAGTATTGTAAGAAATACTAAACTACCTGTATCTTCTCCAAAGTTGTAATGTAAGCAATAATGAAACTTCTCTGTCTTCAATAATGCTGTGTAAAGTAATAAATAATCAACTAACTGCATATTTAATAGGAAACAGTAAAACATGAGTGTCTTCAATAAAGGTGTAATATAATAAAAAAAGAAAACAGGTATGAATATGGTTTAGTGTAGAAAACAGTAAAACATCTGTGTCTGTAATACAGTTGTAATACAATGGAATAATGAAATGAGTGTGTCTTGAATAAGAACAGAAGATAAGAATTAACAACCTAAAATTGTCTTTAATAGTGTTGTAGGCTATATTTTTAATCCAGGATTTTTTAGAAATTTGTGTTGTTGTTTGGCTGAAGAGAGGTATGACACAATAGCATGATGAGCATAGCTTAATGACTTGATCATTTACCAAAGTAGTTAAAAAAAGGGGCAGAAACTTAAAAAATAAAAAAGAGACAGGAAGTTAACAGAGGAATTACAAGATTGATATAGATTTACAGAAAAATTACAAATGTAAAAAAAGCAATTGGAACAAAGACAAAATCAAAGAAATCATAAAAAAATGTACAGATTGAAATTAAGAAAGCCATAAAAGATGTAAAGAAGGATTATAACAAGAATATCTAATAAGTATGAAAGGATATTAATGAAGTACAGAAGAACTATAACAAGTTCAAATAAACCATAGAAATTGTAAATATTGAAGTTAAAAAAGCCATACAAGATGTATGAAAGGATTGTAAAAACAAAATGTAACAAGTATGAAAATATATCAATGAAGCATGAAAGAATTATGGCAACAAGGTTGAAGAAATTATGGGAAATGTAAAAAAAGGCATCAATGTCAAGGTAAAACATCTAGTAACTGAACTGGATAATGCAAGGATCAAAGTAGCCACACCTCTCTCTGCATCCACTCAAAATTTCCAACCTCAAACTTAATTAGCTATCCCATATGGGATAGGAGAACCCATTTGGTCTACACCTATTATTATTACTGTTATATCATCTGTAAATGCAGAACTTTAATGTACTAATCCACCTCTACTACTACTTCATCAATTTATTGAATCCAGAAAGGTATTTCAGCAACATTGCCCTATCAAGAAACCAACAGATTATGATGGAAAGGTTTCATGTGAGGCATATCAGGCACAGTTTGAAATAAGTTCCAAAGTGAATGAATGGAACAATGAAAGGCAAGCTCTTCTTCTTACTGATTATTGAAATGGATCAACATTAAGCAACATTCCAACAAAGAGAGAGAGCCAATATATAACAATTACTAGCCATTAGTGGTTGTTTAATTAAACAGATTTGGGGCACCACATCAGAAGAAAGTTTCTAAAGTAAAGTTTGGAAGCAGAATAAGGAGAAAACACAAGACCTTAGCTGAACTTGCTAAAGATATGGGAAGACTTTCCTTGTCATCTTATCCAGATGATCCATATGAAATGGTAGATTTGTTCGTATGCCACCAATTTATACATGCCATGGTGGATGAAGATTAAAATAGCATTAATGAAAGCAACATAGATGTACATCTTTAAAAGAGAAGTTGTTCAGTTAGCAATGGAACCTGAATCAATTAAAGTTACAGATAAACAGATTAAAACACCATTAAGAAATTATAGGGTCATCAGATCAAAGAATGTAGTCAAGAAAAATCCAAATGATTAATTAGACAATTGTTTACTGAGAAAGAAAGAAAAAAGGAAACCATAAGGTTAAAAATAGGTGTTTCAACTGTAGTATGTAGGCATATTACATGTTTTCTACCCTTTATTTAATACAAAATCTGGTGAATTTCTTGTTATTTTACAGCTCCTACCTTATTATTCTAAGTGAATTCCACACAACTGCAACCTGAAAAGGATATATTGCCAACAACTGCATGCAAAATTCTTTAAGTAATAAATAAAATATACTGCTCCAAAAGTATGACAGAGAAAGGAAACTTCTCTAAGTGTGGAAAACTTGGACATTACAACCAAGACTGAGATGAATATGAATCAGCAGATGATAATAAATCAAGACAATACCTGGATGATATATTCCAGATCCCAAACATACCAGAAGAACAACAAAAAGCTAACTAGACATTGGAAAAGAGGAATAAGAGCTGGACTTAAGGATAAAGTTCAGCTTAAGATACATCATTTTGCTCAAACTAAGGTCATGAGTACATTATTTAAAGAAATCAGCCCAGGAGTCAATGGATTCACAGATGGGTAGCCTTCCAATATGTTGAACTACAAAGATTCTACAGCTATAACTATTTGACCTGATAATTATTATAAGTTTTATATTTATGAATATTAATATTATTAATTGCTAAGAATCATTATATTGCTAATTATGATAATTTAAGATTATTGTGTCATCATTTTCTCTGTGTAATGGGACTGTTCAAGGGATTTCACAACTAGGGATCAAGGCAGTGTTATAGGTTATGTATTGTTTGCATTGTTGTTTGGCTGGAAAGAGGTTTGATATAAGTATGGCTTAAAATTTGGAACCTTTCCCAAAATTTATGAATAAATTTTGAGCTAGATTTAAAGTAAGAGTCAGACTAGAGTGAATGAGTTCATTCTTGTGTATTATTGAGATGTTGAGTTAGTGAGGTTGTTGGTTAGTTAGTTCAATGCTGCAAATATTGGTTTTAGTGTTTTAATGAAGAAATACTGATACAAAAGAATCAGCAAGTAAGTGGAATTTTTCTTTGTATTGTAATTTTGATTATTTGTTAAGTTAGGGCTATTGGTGAAGGTTGGTTACCTAAAGCAGTGGAACTTCTAACTGGAGAAATAAAATGCTTTTGTTTTCTTTAAGTAGACTGGATTTCACATTCTTCTTCTTACTAAATATTACAAGAGTAATTACTTAATAATAGAAAAAAATTACAACAAGGTTTAATGTAAAAAACAAGAAACAGTTGTGTTCTGCAACCAAAACAAATGTTTAAAATGTAGCAAGAAATACAGCATAGGCCAAGGTTTTCTAATGTTACATGATTATTTATTAAAACATAGTAAAATACTCTCTTTAGAAAATCTGGTATCATAGCTTATTATTATATTATAATCTGTTTCACAAATATTTATCCATGATAATATCAATTCTGTATCTAAAGTAATCTCACTTTTATAATACAATGTGAATTTTAGTGTTCACAATACACAGACATAAAATCCCATTGACTCTAAACAATAAACATTTATTTCTTTATATAACTCTAAAAAATAGCTTTGTTTTATTACAAACACTTGATTTACAACATGTTCCACCACAGATATCTCTACCTTATCTTTTTTTTTCACCTCTGTTGCTAATGTGTCCCCTTTAGCTCGAAGACTGAAAACCTCCTGAGTTAACTCAGCTAAAGCTTGTGTGTTTCCACCTGCAGCTTCTAAGTGAAGTATCTATATCAGATGCAAAATAAATTTTATTATCAATATATGTAGAACTATGAATGAGGTTTATTCAGGAACTAAAAAAAATAATAAAGATTTCAAATCATATTATATTTTCTTAGATAAAATGAAGCCTGAAAAATGTTATAAATCAAGTGATAGTGTACAAAACATATTATGAATAGTAATCTCTATAACACATTTTATTTGGAAATTAAATGTTTCTGTCTGAATTTCTGAGAACATTTTATTTTCTTGTTTCTACATTTGACCATTGTATAAGATGGAAGTTGAGGATGTACATATATATGCACTAGATTTTTCAAACATAATAATAACATGCTGGTTTATATCCTAATAATCAACTTCAGCCAATTGATAGGCACATGTCATATACTCAGTGATGTATCTAGTGTGGTATACGAGCATACCATGTATTTTCTACCTTCTTGTAGTAATAAAAAAATTTAAAAAAATTATTTCTGCAGGTACATGCAGTTTGCATATAACAGGTTGATCAAGAAGATCATTAAGTTCTTGTTACTCTAGCTATCTATTGTTTTGTCTCATTCACCTAAAGTAGTACCTTTTGTCTTTCTATGGGACACATGGCTGTAAAGTCACCTGTAATATGCAAAGTTAGACAGTTCACTTTCACTCTGGCAGTCAGGTGATCTCTTGAGGTAATACCTCTCTTATCTGTTATTGGGAATGACCAGTCATGTGTATAGCACTAGTCACTCTGGATCAGTCTGACACTGCCGAGTTAACTAAGTTTTGCATACAACCTCATTGGAGTAAGCTGTAGATCAGTGGTCGGCAACCTATGACCCACGGGTCACTTAGTGACCCGCGGCAATAATTTGGCTGACCAGCCAAAAGTTGGCTTCACCATTAGAACTATTAATTTTTTTGTATGTAAATAAACATATACATTTAAAATACGTGTACCGGTATTAATAATTATATGATTATCACTGACCCAACACAATGCAAAATTATTGACCCGCGATCAAAAAAGGTTGCCGACCACTGCTGTAGATGATGTCAAACCTAATTCTCCAGTGAAAGCAACTGTGCAATGTAGCAAGTTTAATGTGTTTGTTTGATTAAAGATTGTTTACTGTGAGTATACATTTCTGTTAAGTCTTTTTTTTTCTCTCACAAACTCAGTTAGTCAGAGAATATAGTATAATTTTGCAGTAAATATCTTGATTTAGCAGACCTACCTTGTCTTTCTTAGAGAATATCAGAAGTACCAGAAAATACCACATTCTATTAAGCTATTTTTTGTGTTTCATGGTGTAGTTCAAAGTGAAACCATATACCTTAATTCTGGCAAGTATACTGCAACATTTCTGGTGTTGTCTACAGCATTCTTAATGAAAATGGTCTATTTAAGCATTTATATAGCAATAAGCCTAACTGCATAAAATTAATTTCTAGTAGGTTAAACCTGTTAAGTTGAAGGGCTATGAAATAGGACTCAGTTGTCCATACAATCAGTTACTGAATGCCCCATTCAATAAGCCATGATCTTTCAGGATGGCCTAATGTGGAGAAATATACAACATAAAATCAGTGTACCATAGCTGCCACCTGTTGTTACAAAACATAAAATATCACCCTATTTGCAGGTATTAGTTAATTAACACCATGTAATATTATGACACTTTCAAATCGAGAACAGAATGTATGGATAACCTAGGAACAAGTACAGACAAAATATTATAACCTAACAAAAAAAGAAAGAATTTGAAAAGTTGATTTCTGTGACTTACACAGCAAGTAAACTAAACAACATGATGCTAAAATTTTTGAACAACAAATTAGCATGAATTTAAGATTAAGGAACATAATCTTTACAGCAAAAGGCTGATGATAATGGATGCAAAAAATAATCAACTAACCAAAATTAGTATTTTTGATTATTACTATTTCTATTTATTCCTACTACCAAATTAATCAAAAGACTGCCATTATAATTTCTCATAATTAGTTTTCATTAATTTTAGGTTGTTCAGGATGCTAGAAATACTTCTTATACCAACTACTTCAACAAGGGAAATAAGCAAACAAGGTGCCTAAATACCAAAAAAGTGATTAAAGTGAGATCCTGCATGGAAATACTTTTTGTGTCAATTTAATTTCTTCATAGGTAAGCCTACATATAAATACTAAAAACAAAGAGACTAACATAACATGCTGAAAATACTTCTTGTGCCAATTTCTTTGGAGATAAACAAACAAGGTATTGTTTCAATAGCAAACACAGAGATTAGAGTGAGATGCTGGAAATACTTATTTTGCAAATTTCTTTAACAATTGTACATTATAAGCAAACAATGTGTATGCTTAAATACCAAAAACAAAACAGCTCTATCTATAGTTTTAGGGGTGGTTTTGAAACAAATATGAAAAAAATTACAATATTTATAACTAAATTTCCCTTGGATTGAATCTTAAAATTTTCAGTTCCAAATCTAGTTGGTTACAATACAAGTTTCCAAATGTATATTCTAATAATTATGCCATACAATTCATCCCATTTCTGACTTTTATTTTTGTAAAAAACAAAAAAACATTAAGACTAAATTTGAAACTCTCTGCTAAAAATTTAAGTTAGTATTTCTACAAACATGATCCTGCTGTTCATCTTACAGGCCACTAGCAACAGGTACTGGATAGAACAATTCATGCTGTGACCCATTTATGTATGTATATATATATATATATATATATATATGCACATTCGTAGTAGCCAAGATCACAAGATATACAAGTGAGTAATATATTTAATTATTGATTTATTTACTTCATGGTAGGAAATGATGAAATCAGATATTTTCATAAAATCTTAATTTTTTTTAAAAGAATGAAACATAGAAAAATGTATGTTTTTCCTTCACGGAAGTGAGTGCTGATGCACATTTTGTAAATTAACATATATTAACAGTATTACTGCTTTATATGCATTTTCTTAAAGCCATATCATATGCTGATATAAAACTTCTTACCCGAGATTTCATTTTAGCATTTTCGTCTTTCAGTGTCTGCAACTGTTTTTTCCATTCTTCTACATTAGTTGTACTTTCCTGCAGTGCACCCGCCAAACGTACGTTATTGTTTTTGAGAGTCTGTAATTCAATCTCCCACTTCTTAGCATTAGCTGAGCTACATGCATACCATAAAATTAAAAACATTAGTTATTTGAATGTTTAATACTTCATAAATATTACAAAAATAACTAATAAGCCCGAGATACATGGAGAATGAACATTATGAATACAATTAACTACATTTTCACAGCTTTCTGATTATAACTGTCAGGTTTTTATGCATGTGTGGGCAGGATTCTTTACAGCAACTGTCTGTGACTTGTTGGCGATAAATTTCAATGATAAACGGAAAACGTACTTGTTTTAAAGTAACATATTTGAAACGAGTCAAATGTATATACAAATGTTTATTACACAGTTAATCACCACAGTTGTATCCAGAGCTTTGAAAAATAGTATATTTTTGTCAAGAATCCACACACGCTAGTCTGACTAGATGAATTATTCTTCTCTACTCTGTTATCACAATACAATCAGCGATAAATTGACTTACATTACCCTGAGGGTTACCAAAGTTGCATCCAGAACTTTGAATAATAGTATCTTTTACGTCAAAAGTACACACAGGCTGTTTCAGTTACTTTAGAACCCATTTGATAAGATAAATTTTTCTTCTCTACTCTGTTATTATAATACAATCTGCAATTATCACACTTTAAAAATTGACACTATACACTCTTCATGACTAAACTTACAAACACAGTCGAGATCTATTTGACTATATCTCTCATTAACTTTATGTTACTTTTACTTAACTTACTTACACTATATATATATATATATATATTGTTACTACAGCGGAGGTCACGTGACACTGGTAACACGTGATAAGTGTCTAGAAGGTTCATGAAGAGGCGAGTGCATTCTAGACGCCCTCTATTCATGACCATAAGTGCGGCAAATAAAGCGAGATAATTAATTGGATAGCAGACAGAGAGATAGGGAGACAGATAATCGAGTAAAGTTGTAAGAAAGTGCGTAAATCGTTGTGAATTATACCGTGTGCCGTCCATCCATTCATCTCTGCCAGGAGCTCAAATTGTGCTCTATATGCTTCCCACGGTGCCTTACCATCGAATTCCTGTGGCTTTCTTCGTACTAGATCACCCCTATTGCTGACATTCACATCTGGGATGTGACTTTTAATAGTACTGAAGATGTCTGCATTAGGGTTTAGCTGCGGGGTCTGGAAGGAGCTTCTCGTTGCCTGAGGCTGATTAGGTAGATGGCTGATATACCCTCCTTGTGTAAAAGACAGTAAATCATCCTTTAATGTATTTAATTCACTTTGAAATTTGCTAATGTTTTCCATTTGTACTTCTTGCCACTGTTGTTGACGTTCCTGTAACTGTTGGAGACTTTTTTCCTGTTTCCTTTCTTGTTCTAGTTGTCACTGCTGTAATCTCTTATCTTGTTTATTTTACTGTTCGAGCTGCCACTGTTGCAGGTTTTCTTGCGACTGCTGTTGTCTCTCTTCTTGTTTCTTTTCTTTTTCCTCCAACAACTGCTGTAATCTCTCTTCTTGGTTATTTTCTCGTTCTTCTTGTTTCTTTTCTTTTTCCTCCAACAACTGCTGTAATCTCTCTCTTCTTGTTTCTTTTCTCATTCTTCTTGTTTCTGTTCTTGTTTATTTTCTCGTTCTTCTTGTTTCTTGTTCTTGTTTATTTTCTCGTTCTTCTTGTTTCTGTTCTTGTTTATTTTCTCGTTCTTCTTGTTTCTTTTGCTGTTCTTGTATTCCTGCCATAAAATCTGCTAAGCTGTAGTTTAATTTGCCACTTCTCTTTTCCATCCCACTTCTGACACCAATTTGTTATGTCTATGTTCATTTGTTAATTTCCCGTAAAAATTCTTTCGGAAGAACTTCAGCAATATAAGTCCTTTCTTGAATAAATCTAGTTTGTTCTTTTTCAATACAACTTTGCAATACACATAATTTCCACAGTTACTTTAACTTCAAAGGAGCAGAAAGTCAAGTATATCTGGCGACGAGCTTGAAGGAACAACCACTGGAAATATTAGACAGTTGTCAGCAGACAACAGACACAACTATAGAACACTGGTAGCTGCTCTAGAACTCAGGTATGGAACCCAAAATCAGTCTTAAGACTACAGGGCTAGGTTTAGGACGAGAGTCTGTGCTAAAGGGGAGAGCCTGCAAGAGCTGGCACAGGATTTGGAAAGCATGGCACACAAGGCCTACCCAACTGCACCACCCGATCTCCTCAAGTTGTTGCTGAGGGATCAGTTTGTAGATTCCTTAGACAGTCCCGTTCAAGTGAAGCAAGCACACCCCTGTACTATGCAGCATGCAATGGCCAGAGCTCTTGAATTCGAATCCTATGTTAAGTCCAGCACAGAGGTACCAAGCTTGGTACAGTCATCAGGATTCAAGACCAGAAAATGTCAGCTTTCAGAGAGGTTTGAGGGACTTTGCTGGCACTGTAACAAACCTGGGCACAAGAAAGCTCAATGCTGGAAACTTCAACACAGGGAAGATGCCACACCAGGAAAGGCTGCTACCCAGAAAGGTTGTTGGAACTGTGAAGAGCAAGGACATATGAGGAGCCAGTGCAAGAAGAATACTACCAATAAGTCAGCTTCGGGGAAACCTGTAGTAGTTCGTGCTGAGGGATGCCTACCAACCCCCATCGTGAAAGTCCCAACAGCTAGGTGTAAAATGCCAAGCACACATAGTGTCTACGTGACAGGAAAGTTGGATGGCCAAAAGTGCAACTTTGTCATAGATTTTGCATCTCAGCAAACCCTTGTGAGCATCAAGGTGCTGGATCACAAAGGAGTACCAGAAGCCCTACAGAAGCTTTGTGGTGTGACAGGACATTATGCAATGTTGTGGGGACCAGTGTGGGTAACTATTGAGCTAATGGACATGAAGGACAGACACAAAGTATACTTGGCTGACATTGAAGACCAATGCATATTAGGGTTGGACTACTTACAACCGAGGAAGTGTGTGATTAATTTTGATAAAATGACGTTTGGGAACAACAAAGGCCAAATTCCTGTAAGTGTTAAAAGAGAGGTTGGACTAACCAGGTGCCATC